GTTCAATTCAACTCAACTAGTTACTTTTCCCCGAACCTCGATTCCCTGTCCGTATTCACATACGAAACGGATGCACTTATCAATCTTTTTACCTCAACAACAACAAATACATTTCTAAGATTGATCCAAATCATTGGTAACAATACTCAAAGTGGCGGTCTACAGTCTGGCCTGTTTCAGAATTATAATCTAGTGTACGATGATTATGATGTTGGAAGTGGCTTCTATGTCATGGATAGCTGGACTTTTGGGTATAACAATTGTTCTTGCCGCAGCTCCTCACTGTGCATTGCACCAGCAGCCATTTATAATATTTCAGAAACATACATCACCACCAACATAATCTTTCAGCCAACAGGCATATTAACAGGCTGTTATATTTTAGATGCACTGCTACAGTCCAGTCTGGCTTGTTTTTACAACCAAACGTGTGTAAACACTCTACAATCATTTATAAGTACCATCAACACTACAGCCCTGAATTTGACTACACCGAGTCGATATCAACAAGAATCGACATTAAAGGAAATAGTTGCATCTCTCATGGTTGAAGAGTGGAATCCAACTGTCTCTTTTTCAGCCTATTATGAGCAATGTGCGCCCATCCAATGCGTATTTACATATTCGGGAACAAACAATGTGATTTACATCGTCACTACTATTATTGGATTACTTGGTGGTCTCATAAAAATATTACGGTTTATTATACCGCGTGTTGTTAGATTTGTAAGGAAGAGAAAGAGAACAACAGCCGAAAATCAAGGTAGATCGATGTCTAATAAATGTTGTTTGTACTTTGCTCAGAATGAAAATATCGTTCATTAGTGGTAAGCGCTTTGTTCGCTATGGATATCAGTTCGTAAACTTAGATAGCCACACTAACAGCACCCGACCTAAGAATGTTGCTCATTAATCGAAATGAAAACAACATTAACGACGTTATCGACTTTAACTTAAAAGAAAAAGACACTATTCGATTTAAGTTTTAGAACAAATGACTTGATTTTGCTAAGGCATTTTCAATACATAAATCACTCATAGAATCACAAAATACCTCATAATTATGAAAGTATGATGTTGACTGCCGACTAATGCCGATACTCGGTGCTTATTCGGGTGGGACTACCTCAAAAGTTTAACATTTTCCAATTTTCGTAGGTGAACTTGAAAAGTGTTACGAAGTGCCATTGTGTTTCAGTAACTGTAGAATTGTACAGCAACTGTTCACGTTTCGCAGACCAATAACTTTCTGTTCTTTCTGATCCGCTTCACTATTTTTTCCTTCTCATATTAGTATCTTTGTTCAGATAATTCAGTCAGTAATGTTTATCAAAAAATCAAGCAGTACGTGAAAAAGTTCAACATAATTCATTCATATCCACCAGCAACCGATTTTCATGACATTCAAAACCAATTAATATCTACGCGTTTAGTTATAGTTTTCTTGGTAATATTATTAATAATACTTATTAGCTACACAGCATTGGTAGACGTTACAATAGCGATGACGGTAAACTCTCCGTCAGTCTCTCGGTACAAAGAACTCTATCAGAAATATCCGTTGACACTCTCTTGCCCTTGTGAAACTATATCAATAGATCGAGACAAGTTTATTAATTTCGATCCAATGTTTCACCAGTACTGCACTAGTGATTTTGCATCAGCAAATTGGATAAATTATTCTGATCATCATGGTAATAAAGGGTTTTCATATGATGATTATCGATGGACAGGTCCGTTGTTTTTCCAAGCACTTTTGGGTCTATGCCAACTAACAAATGAGACAATTCAAAACGATTTAGTTGTTTTCCGTTCGAGTAAATACGTAACCTCCGTTGTGCAACCAGAAATATTATTTTACTCTCAAACACAATCACTCATCGATGTTTTCATTTCAACGACGACAGACACGTTTTTTCAAGTGTTCAACATGGCTCGATATATAACTGATAGTAATCAGATAGTTTCAGGTGTTGGCAGTAACTTCTATGCCATAGCACCGTCTGCACTTTCAAGCACACATCCAGTTCAATTTTTCCCGTCGTATTATTCGGACTGCTCGTGTTCTATAAGATCCTGGTGTAATGAGACAACACGTGTCTACGATTCCGATACTGATGACATTCTGTATGTGATGCCTGGCCTCATAACGGGATGCACAATCGTCTATTCGGCACTTTACTCCAATTTAAAATGTTTTTATAATCAGTCATGTATCGATGAGTCAAAGACGTTTATGGGGTCAATATATTCTCTAGATGTTACGGCACTAAATTCGTCTGCACAAAGTCAATATGATCCAAATTCAACGGTAGACGCAATCCTTGCACAGCTTTTTGTTGAAAAGTGGAACTCAGGTGCCTCTTTCTCATCCTATTATGAGCAGTGTAGACCCCTTCAATGTACATTCACTTATTCGGGACGAAACAATATTGTCTACATTGTGACAACCATCATTGGATTGTTTGGCGGTTTAACAAAAGTATTACTGGTCATCATCCCTTCTGCTTTAAAACTCGTGAGAAGAGGAAAACGACCAGCCGAAGAATCTGAAGGTATGATATTTATTCAACAAACACAACATTTAGAACTTTCATCCTCTAGCCCTCACCCAATCATATAAAAACGGTTTGAGATGAACACACGAACTAATTCGAGTACCACGAATGGGTACAGACGAACGTTCAGTATGTCCATTCCAGATTAATTCTTCAACTTTTAGGTGGTCTCGAATGGTGACTCAGAATAGTCGCGCGGACGGGCCCGAGTGCCATATGCAGACGAGTCTTCTCTTTATTTACGGGCCTAGTCTCATAACCCGTCTCTTACTTGTTTCGAAACTTAGTACTCTCAAATTGAGCGTAGAAGTTTTACATTGTTTTTCGATTGGATTTGCATGCACTCAAACTGCCCAACATAAAGTAGGATGTCAGGACTATCTTTTAATACATATTTAGAAGAGACGAGTTTTCGAGCTTGTTTTCTGAAAATTGTTCTACTATCTATCTCAAAACAGAATGGTCATGGATGTTTTCTGAGAATCACGGGATTGAAAAGAATTACACACTTGCAGTTTTCAATTCCTGAACGGAGGTGTCCGAAGACACCGGTCTATGATTAGACCAACCTGAAGCTACCACCTGCCGGTAATGTACCTTGAAAATCTTTTTTTAAGAAGATCGCCAGATCTTAACAATGGAATATTTTCTTGCTTGCAGTTTTAAAAAATCCTGCATCTGGTACAAAACCGTGTATTTTCTGAAGTTCTGAAGCCATTCAAGTTAGTTTTGGTGTAAAATTCTACATCATAGCAGATGAGAATCTTGAGTATGGTGGAATGTGTTGATCACATGTCGATCTATGTGATGCTCATATAAAAGGAGTAGGTCACTTCGGGACGTTAAGATCATACAATCTTCTAAAAAAAGATTTCCAAGGTACATCACCGGCAGATGGTGACTTCAGGTTGGTTTTCGCATAGATCGGCGTCTTCGGATACCTACAGGAAATTGAAAACTCTTGTCTAAGTCTTTTCGATCTCGTGATATTCAGAAAACATGCATGACCATTCTATTTTGAAATGCATAGCAGTTAGCCGAAAGAGACTAAGAACATGATCTGGTTACGAGAGAGTCCAATTCTAAAGAAAGATGTAACTTCTAGGTCAACGTACAGAACATTGATGTCTTCGTAGATGTTGCACAGTGGGCATTTCCTCATAGAGCAGGCGGCATTTTTTGCCGACATAGTTTTTTTGAATCCAAAATCACTTTTTTATACGTTTTCGCATACGGTATTTCCAGCAGCGAGGCAAAGGTGAGTCGCGGAGGGTTTTTCAGAGGTTTTCCAGGGGAGGATTCCAGAGACCCAGGCTTCAAATACCCCCTAGAAAAAGTTTGCAATTGTTTTAAAGCAAAGTTTCAGATTCGCCGTAACCTAAAACCTATAAATTTGTGCTTTGAAAATATTTGCGCGACGCTGAGAGGT